TGTGTGTGTGTGTGTGTGTGTGTGTGTGTGTGTGTGTGTGTGTGTGTGTTGAGATAGGGTCTTTCTGTGTCATTATGTAGCCTTAATTGTCTTAGACCTCCCTAAGTAGCCAAGGCTGGCCTTGACCTCACAGAGATCTGCCTGCTCTGCCTCTCAAGTGCTCGGACTACAGGAATGTACCCCCACACTTGGCAGGATTATAATACATATTCTTTCAACATTTGTACTGTAATATACATTCTTTCCTAGCATGAAGCCAGGAACCTGGCACTTAGCAACTGCTCAAGAAATGGTCACATTATTTGCTTCTACTACAATCTTTAAAGCACCATTATGAGTAGGCTCTGAGCAACAGCTGAGACACACAGCGAGCTAAGAGTGTACTTACCTACATTCCCTTACGCCCATTCTTCCTGGAATCTGGCCACAATGAGAGCAAGCTCAGCAAAAGTTGGGCAGAGTGGCAGGAACTCAGCACTGTCACCTTCCCTGCTGGGAACTTGTTGCTTTTCCGGTTGCTATGCTCTGACATTATCAGAGCCACACATGACATGTATAGTTGGGCTTCGAGAGCCTGGCACACTTTCCTTCTAGACTGCTGCTGTATCTACCTGAAACTTCTATTGTCTAAAAGATCTACTTACAGGAAATAAATTCTGCCTCCTAGGATCTAGACCTATGGGAAGCTCTTCTGGTAGGCCTGGAAATTCATAGAAATCTCTTTTCTTGTCTCTCAGTCCTTGATTAAACATGCTCTAGTTACAGGAGTCTCTGGAATCAAATGAATCCTGCAAGAGGCTCTAGTTCCATCAGAAGGCCTTAGAAAATTCAAAGAATTTTCCCTAAAGAAGCTAAAGAGGGTACCCTAAGACCCACTGTTTGGAAAACAATATCTCTTGATTAAGCACCTCACTTTCCTGAAAAGTGGAGGCCCCAGAATAAGGCAGAAGAGAAATGATGAGGCAGACACTATTGCTCTTGCTGCACACTATTTTAGAAAGGCCCCATTGCCCCTGCTCCCCAGTCTCCATCCCATGGAGCCACTCACGTTGCAGGCAATCGGCATTGAGCAGGTCCTGGCACTTCTCATGGCACTTGACTCCACACTCGCTGCAGCGCATGCCTTGCCGGGCAAGGCCCCAGAGCAAGCCTTCACATTCATAGCAGTAGGTAGGTGTAGTGGCGGACCAGACCTCAAAGTTGTGTGGTGTGGTACACGAGATTGGGTAGATTAAGGCCTGAAGAGTTTTCTTATACACATGTGATTTCTGAAAGACACACGCCCCATTACAGACCAAAAACTGTATGACTGCTGGAAAGTACCAGAGCTGAGAACCTATGGGGCAGTCAGGTCCCTGCTTTCTCCTGTGGTAGTGGATAGCAAACCCGAGCATGGAGCAGCTCAGAGTGTTGCCTGGCACAGACAAGCACACACTAGAATATGCTTCTGGTTGCCTAATGTGGGCCCATAGATAAGTCTGAGCAGCCATTCATTCTAGAGAAACAGAGGGGAATGGGATCACTATAAATATCAACCAGGCACAGTGGTGCACACCTATAATCCCAGCACTCAGGGAGGCAGAGGCAGGCAGATCTCTGTGAGTTTGAGGCCAGCCTGGTCTATAGAGCAAGTCTAGGACAGCCAAGGCTACACAAAGAAACCCTGTCTCAAAAAACAAAAAAATAAAAAAACAAAATAACCTGAAGATCAGTGGTTATATGCTTTAAGACTCCAATATGAACTCTCATTTCTCTCACTGTAGAAAACTGAGATCAGACACTATCTTGGTAACTATATACCAGAATTCAAAAATTTATAGTTAAAGTTCATAGTATGCTCCAGAGATGATCAATTCATCGGCCAGTAGACTCAAAAAAGCCCATGAGGACTTACCAGTTCTTCATCCTTGAGAGAAGTACGTGTAGCCATTGCAGAAGTAATCCCTGCTTTCCGAGACTGGACCAGTGACTGTGGAAAGAGTTGCCTGTCAACCCTGACTAGCACTGGCAAAGTCTATTTGTTCCTATTTTTGCTGTCACTCAGATACTAACCCTGGGTAACAGGTAATAGAGCCCCAGGTAAAGACATAAAACCCCAGGCCCTCAAGGGACTGTTCTAGCAATGTCAGAACAGTACTTCCTAAAGGATATCCCCCATCCAAAGGGCTTTCCTCTTTTATTATTCTTAGGGTATCTTAGCCCAAAGAAACTCCTTGTCTATGAGAAGGCAAAGGAAAATGGAAAGCTTAGAATTATTGTAAGAAACAGGTCATAAGAATAAAATACACAAACAAGTTATTAGAGTCACATATACGAACCATCCATGCTGTCCCTATGCCCAGATACCTCCCCACACCCAATCCATGGGAGATATAGAGGCCAGCAGCCCAAAAAAATAGCATTTGACAAGTAAAAGGGGGCAGTAGTGGCCAGACAGGACAGGGAGTAAAGTTCAAGAACTGGGGCTGCCTGCCAGTCAGGTCCTTGTGTAGAGAAACCCCATGTTTCTTGCCAAGCCCCTGGAAGATACATGATGTCATTAAGGCAGCTGACATTAGGCAGGCAGAATTCATATGAACCTAAGCAAAAACATCAGCTGAGAGGGGCCCAAGTAATTTGGGGATGTGGACTCGTAAGAGGACAGGGAAGGGCTCTGGATGCACTCACCATAGCCTGTGCAGAGGAGAGCAAAGAAAGGAACAACATGATGTTAAAGCCCCCTGAGGTATAGAAACTTTCAGAGGCAACTGAATGGGTCTTTTCCTCCAGTTTACCATAGGGAACAGTTTCTAATGACCCAGAGAGCTGCCCAGGGCCCAGGCTGAGAGTGGCTACTCTAAGGACAATTATGTGTCAAAGGGAAAAACAGGCAAGGGTAAAAGACAGGGGAGGGAAAACATGACATGATCCAGACTTGCTTATGGAAAAGGAGGACTACTGAGAAAGGAGCAAGAAAAAAGAGAAGGTGATAAAGGAGATAATAAAGAAAATATGACAACAGAATCCATCTTCTACCAGCTAGATGAAAACCTGGTGGAAAAGTGGGTACACTAAAAGAATAAGAGAATGAGAAAGATACAGAAATGGTAGGGAATATGTAAAGAAAGGATGATAAGGAAAAGGTAGGTGACATTTCCATTCAACCAATGAAGGAAAAAGAAACTAGTGGGAGAAAAAGAGATCAGACAATAGAAGAAAGAAAAGAAATAGACAGGAAAACCAGAATGGACAGACAGGGAGAAATAAGAGTATCAGGAGTAGAAAATGGGAAAAAAAGGGGTTTGCGTCGCGCTGACCTGTCACACCTTTGTATCTGGCTTAAGAGCTCCAGGAAAGCCAGGGTTCCACTCTATTCCCACCACTCATAGCCTACAAAAAATTCCTCAAACTGATCACGCTTTAGAAAGGATAGCCTACATTAGGATATTTTAGTCATCCTGAAGATACTAAGAACTTCTTCAACTCCTAAGCCTGATGCAATTCAGTTCCACAAATGTCTTATTGTTTCCCCTCAATGTCTTAGGTTAACAGATATACTCTATAGAATACAAGCTTTCATTTGACCTCTAAGAAGGATCAGGATCCAGCTAAGCATATCACACACGATACTTAATAATCTAAATTAAGGGCTAGATAGAGGCCAGAGTCAGGCCCCATTTCAGGTTATCAAAGAAGGTATCTTAACTCCTCTAGGAAGCTGCAACTTTCCTACCTGGAACACCTGTATCTTATACCTTCAATACAGACAAATGTTCCAGATAGGAACTTGACCCTTTGAAGAACCCAGGGCTCTGACTTGGGAATAAGTTAGAACTAGGTACTACTGAAACCATCATTAGGTATCAGTAAGTCTGAAATGACTGATTCTAAGCTGGCAGCTTGTCAAGATCTCATGGGGTGTATACCCCAAGCTAACATCGGGTCTTCACTCACCAGATCACTGACAAGTGGCAGTGGCTTCTTTCTTCGTAGATCTGGCATGCTGTCAATGCCATAGAGCCCTCCAGCTGGCCTAAGGAAAGAAGAAAACATCAGAATCTTCAGTCTAGCTTGAGTTACTGGCAGGTTCTGTGTTCTATTATCCTTGTTCTCCCTTTGCTCAGAGGATGATGAACTAACCTCCATGTGCCTTTGAGAGAGCTAAGGAAGACGGTAGGTGAAATTCAAGGGACCAGCTTGGAATCTTCCTTTTGTCTCTCAGTGCTTCCTGCCAAGGGCTACGAGCCAAGGGCTACGAGCTCTTTTATCTCACTGAAATAGCTCAAGGCACTTTTGTTTATTTGAAGATCTTATACTCCAGAAGGCAAGGTGGGAGCTGGTGCCCAAGAGAGCTTCCACTCCGCACAGACCAAGAGAAGTCCTGTACAGTCTAGGCTACAACAGGGCCACAGTTGCCTCCACCAGCCTGCTGCCTAGGTAAGCAAGACTACTAAACAATGACATGTTGAGGGAGACTTCCATCTAACCATAAGAGAATCATCGGTTTTGTCTCCTTAAGCCTTCTGACAGAAAGGATCTCCATGGATAGAGAAGCTCCATAACTCAGAAGAGGCTGAGGAGGTAGAACAGGAGACTCACAAAGCCACAGGGGTAGGGTAGGAGGGAAACAGCAAAGGGACTCTGCGAGTCTGGATTAGTCCTCAATGCCTATCAACAGGTACCAGAGAAGCACAACACAAGCAACTGAGTGTCTGCAAAGCTTTTGTGCTTTAGCCATACTTGCTATTTTGTCATTGCCTAATTCTATTAATAACATGCAATTCTAGAAAGAACAAGCAAAACAGAGCATGCCTCCAAAGGAAGATTAGTTTTGTATTGGGATAACCTGGATTTTGGCTGCAGTTCTGCCAACTCCCTATGTCTTCTTTTAGTCTTCTATAAATTTAGGTTGAGTTAAAAAGAAAAATATAAAGGTCTCTGCTCTAATGCTGAAATTATGAGCTGCAATGGAAACAAACAGATCATCCCTAAAACAAACCTTACATACGTGGCTCTGTTTTGAGATAGGGTCTCACTACTTTGTCCGGGCAGCTGTGCATTCACTACATAGGTGGCCATAATCTCATGGCCCTCCTGCCTCAGAGTGTTGGATTTAGAGGTGCACACGAACATACTTACCTAATTATATGCTTGCTTTTATTAAGAACAATGAGCTAGAGATACTAGGTAGCCAGGTTGTACACCACAACTGGTCTAAAGCTAGAAGTCTCAGAAGAATAAGTAACTGTGTCCATGATCTAGGCAAAGATCACAAATTAGGGTAAGACCAGGATCTGGAATAGCCAACTCAACATACAGATGTCTAGTAAATATCTTTACATCTAGTAAACATCTGAGGTCAGCACAGGCCGTGGATTACTAATGAGACTGCTATGCCTAGGAAGCACAGAAAGGAAGACAAGAGAAAATTATTTTGAAAACCCTTGTATTTCATTTTAAAGCCGATTTGGATCTGCTCTACTGGCATACAGTGTGTATTTAATAATTATTGGAAGAAATAACCTAAAGTTCACTACAAAAGCAACTAGTGACAGGAACTCATAGTGAATTCAAGTTTGCAGTGAGTTCTAACAACTACAATGTGCTCTGGTTAAGTCAAGTGGCTTTTGCAACAAATTGTCTTTTGAAAGAGATGGAACAGGTTGGTTCTTTCAAACAAACTGTCTTGGCCAAAGAAGATAAAGGGTGTGTGTGTGTGTGTGTGTGTGTGTGTGTGTGTGTGTGTGTGTGTGAAAAATATAGAAGCTAACTTTATGATTTGATATTCTTCCTTAGCTAAGAGTGGGAGGAGGCAGCTGAGAAGTGTGATGTCATAAGCCTTTGTAGGGTAACAGGAAAAGGAAGGCTAGGGAGATAAATGGATAATGTTGGGAGAGAGAGGCCGTGGGAAACATTTGAACTCCTCTCTCATGTATAATCAGTCAATTGTGAGCATCAACTGAGCTTTAAATGACTGGTGCGATTACATGGGTCAGAAACTGCCAGAAACGAAGCTCAGACAGAGCAACAAAGCTCAAAAGGGATGCCACTGTGTCCTGACTTCAGTGGACGTCATAAGTGACTCTGGACAACTGACGCAGGCCTGAGCCCAGAAAGTAATCTCATAAGCTACACCAACAATGAAGATAGAAATTTTCTTCAGATAAATGGCCTTACTTTCTATACAAAAAGCACATTACTGCTATATATGATATGATACATAAGAAATTGCACAGGAAAGATGGAATGCTAAAGCAATCTCTCCCGGCCCAGAGGCTCCTGCTTCAGCCTCTAGGGAGTCAGTCAGTGGCTTTCTCCTTAGAGAAAGCCAACCTGTGGTGGGACCTCTTCCTTTGCCACAATCCAGCATATAGAGCTGTCTCACATATCTCCAGAGAAAAACTAAAAGCAGACAGAGATGAGATCCATAGGGAGCTTGAAGAGAATCACTTACCCTTCTGGGAGCCACTGAGGCAAAGAGGGGTCACCATCATCTGGGATCTTTAAAAAGAGAAACAAAAAAGTCAGCTTGTGGGAAAGATGGGAGAGTGCCTATAGGGTCAGGCAGTGAGCAAAGTAGGTCCCGTGAACCATTTTGTGGCAGAGCCAGTCTGAAGTCTAAGCCAATACCCTATCACCTTGGGCAGCTAATAAGCTGCCGTAGTGAGCAGCACCTGACTTCTTTTGCCACAGTACATAGAAAGAATAGAAGCTCAAATTCTGAGGTCCTGTGGCTAAGATCTGCTGGGAAGACACAGTGGGCAGAACTCTTACCTTCTTTATATAAGCAACTGGTAGACAGCAGGAAAAGGGCTTTCTCAGGATCTCAGGCCTTACTGAAGTAAAAAGAAGTTGGGGTAGCATGGGGTCCTTGAGCCTCTAGCTTACCGAGTATGTAAGTATGAGTCCAGTCTCTACATTTTATAAACTATCTAGTAAGAGATCATACGGCAGATTAAATACTTGGGTTATGAGTCTGGTGAACTTTATGAGAAGTAAAACTTAGGATGAAAAGTTGAAAATGGAGGTACCAAACAGACAAGGAAAGAACAGTTACAAACAAAATAAAACAACCCCCAGTTTTTAAAGGGCTCTTCATAAAACGAAAGTAAAAAACAAACAACAAGGAAAGTTTTAAGCAATGAAGAGAAGAGAGTTCTAAAGTTAACAGGAGTGTCCAGGAAAGCCATTGTGCATGCTTCTAAGAAGCAAGAAACTAGTATTAGCACATCTGGGACCTCCTGGCTTGCTTTGTTCCTTTCCAACCCAACTACCCTGCCCCTTAACTACCCTGGTGCAAATGAGCTCCAAAAGTGGGGCAAAAATAATGTGGTTATCTCTGGATGGGGTGATGGGTAAACTGAGGCAAGACAGAACAGTATGGTCAGCTAAGACAGGGCTAGCAGGTGATGGAAAGAAGGGCAACAGCTCAGGTGCATTTGGATTAAAGATCCATTTCAGGAAACTCCTTGTCACATTTTAACTTATCTGTTTATTCCATCCCTGTGCCACCTGAGCCCTGGAGTGGATGACAGTGTTAACGGGAGGGTAGGAACAAAGGGAGCAAGGAGTGCATGGCGCAAACAACGATGTGCCAACAGAAGAAACAATAGCAGGTGAGAATAATAGGGAAACAGTCTCTAAGGATGTTGGCAGCAGAGACAAAGGCCAAGCATCTGTGCATTCCTAGAGCCTACCAACCAGAATGTATCTTCCCTCTGGAGGCAGCTACTGCACTGAGCAGATTCTTATCTCTCTCTTTTTTAATTCTTGGAATTAGACATTTGCCAGAAACTACTTGGCTTCAGAAAACAGACAAAAAAGTCTTTGGGAGCTAGGCCCAGATCATGCACACTTCCTGTGCTCAGAGAGGACAACAGTTTGCAGAAGCACACAGCATGCATACACAGCACACTGAAGGAGGGTTGGGAGCAGGAAGAAGTCTAGCCAAATACTTATACAAGGTAGACTCCTAGACAGAAAAGTGTATCTGAAGAGAAGACATGGTGAACATGAATCTTGTGCTTATAGGTTCAGAACCTATGTTCAAACTAACCTGAACAGGATTCAGTGTTCGCTAGCACCCAAATCACAAGCAAAGTAAATCCTCACTAAACTCAAGAGCCATTGCTAACAGGCACAGAGCAATGGTGGTCACAAAGCTTGAGGTGGCAATACAACAGGTGTACAGAGGCTTGTGCCCAGAGAGGCCGGGGAGCTAGCTCAAAGCATAAATGCACTTTTAGACTTAGAGTACCAGACAAGAGACAAAGCTATAAAGTATGTGAACATGCCGGGCTCAGCCAGGGGTTGATTACATCATACGCTAGAATTGGCAACAACAATTAGGAAATGGACACACACTGTGAAAACTAGGAGAAAAGGAGGGCAATGAAGTGTGTTGCAGTGTCAGACTGAGTACAAGTGGAAGCACACACATGCTGTATTGAATGTGCATTCATGCCGGCACACACACATTCTTCCACTATGTTCCAGGAAAGAGGCACAAGCACACACAGAATAAGCATGCATACAAACTTCTTTCTGAAGAAACAGGTTACCTACATGAACCACTGCTCAGAGGCACAGAACATGCATACATACATACACACAGTACTCCGAGAACAGCAGAAATAAAGAACAAAATAGGCCCAAACGACCAGAGGCACAACCTGAAGAGCTTCTCGCTTTCCTTCTGCAGGAAGAGAAAGAGCAGGAAAAAACAAAAATGGCAGAAAGGTTAGTAGATTCAGTTCTATTGTAGGAACCCAAAAAGAGTGGCAGCTAATCCTAAGGGATGTGAAGGAGAGAGGCTCTAGACACTGGGGAAGGCCATGAAGGACACCTGACTAGCTTCCAAATCCTTACTTACTGTGTTGGCTGGTTTGGTTTTTAGCAACAACATCCAGGGGGTACTTAATACAAAGGACAAGATCTGCCTAGGGATTCCACTTGTCCTTTTCCTCTTTCCACAGTGGTCTGTGTTCAGAGTCAGGGCTGCCAGTGCCACAGAATCAGACTCCTCCCGCAGACAGCACAAGCTGCTGAGCACATAGTAACTTCTTTCTTCGAAAGATGATTGAATTCATCTGTACATAAGTCCTCAAACCCTAAGCTTGGTGGCTGAGCCCTTCCCATTTCACAGTGCAGACCGGGCCTTGCATTAAATCTGAGCATGTTTCTCCAGACTACATTAATCTAGGCCAAAGTAGGGCCTAGAGTGACAAGCAGGATCAAGATGTTGAATGTGTAAAAGGCCTTCGGAGTATCAACTGCTCTAACAGACCACAGTGATGTGGATACTAAAAGCATGGATCCCATGTCAGTTGTCATTATAATGTATTGATTTCACAGCAATTATTAGTATGTATTAATTTCAGAGCAATATTCCAAAGGACACGGACACTTTTAGACTGGTCAAGCAAGTAGCAGGAGACCAATTTCCCTTTCTATTCATCAGAGACTACACTGCCTACAGGGCCACATGTAGCCAGGCCCACAGGCTTCCTTCTTCATGAAATCCATCCAACTAGGCCTTTCAACTTTTTTTTTCTCCATTTGAATGTCTATCACTATCATATCACAAAAAAAAATACTAATTCATAAGTTTCCAATTCTTTAAGCTATTTCTGATGGCCAAGTAGATCACTTGTCCAGATAGAAGGATGAACTCAGCAAGAGGAATCCTCCAAACCAGTGTGGTACCAGAAAGGTGAGTGGGGACTGAAAGATAAGGTGCTTCCTGGAACAGGGACAGATCTCTTTCACACCTATATCCCACCCTCCTGAGAATACTTCTTCTCTCTGAATAAAAAAATCAGGCAAGGAAAAAAAAATTAGACAAGAAATACTTTGACCCTAAGACTCAAATTAGAGATGTTACTTTCCTTCACTTAAATGCAGTCTTGATATCATACCATATTCTGATTACCCTCCCTGCCCGTGATTTCTCCAAAAAAATTATTCTCAAAAGTAAAATATAATTGATTTAGGGCTGAAGAAATGTTGCACAAGCCTGTGGACTGGAGTACAATACCACCAACCTGCCCCTCACCCCCCACCACCTAGATGCTAGACAAGCCTGAGAGCCTTGGAAGGAAGGCATGGGGATGCTAGAGAAGCTGAACTGGCATGTTCTGGGTTCAGCTGAAACCCTACCTCAACAAACAAGGTGGAACACAACCTAGACTCCTGATGTTAACCTCAAGCCCAAGTATGTGTAAATGCACATACATATGCAAAAACACAAAAATATTTTAAATACATAATAAGCTGATAAAGCCATCAAGGTTCTTAAAGGTTTGGTTCAAACCCCCAAATTTTCCTTTCTCACTAATTTTCTCGGGCTTCTATATACTTTGTACAATCTCATTTTCCCACAGAGCCAAAAATCCAAATATTTATTTACTCATTTTGTCCTATCAGTCTGATACAACTGATATCTACCCAGGTAAGAGTTAATTAAGTCCTTCTAAGACATCTAAGTTCTGTTTATCTTTGCCTTCTTTTTAGGACTTACCTTACAATGCCTTGACAAATTCCACCACATACACATGAGACTTATGACAGATAGATCAGATGTTGAATCTCAACCAGATACTTCCTTCATCTGACAGTCTGCTGTTACACTAGTCTCTTTCCTCCATGGGCTGCCCTGACAGTAGCTATACCTACCCTTCAAGATCGTTGCTTAGCCCAGCATGGTTGTTACCTGCCTACCACACAGCACCTTCGCACACCCCACAACCACCACCACCACATACTTCCTTAACCTCTTATATCCAAGGCCTGAGGAAATCTTCCCACACACCCACAGCCAGACAACTGGATTCTTCCCTCTTTTCCCCAGTAAGAACAGGCTGATCATTCAGTCCTCTATAACCCACCTCCTAAATACCTTTGCCACCTTTTCCTGATCTGCATTCTAGATTACCACTGACCTACTACATAACCTCATTGCCTCTCAGATGGACTGGAGATTCTATGCTCACCTCTTGACCCTGGATATGGGCCTCTCCAGTTCCTATTATTTTCTATTGAAAAATGTATATCACAGTTCTCCTTTGCTTGGCTGTATTCTTACATGCCTTATTACAACATATAAAGTCCTTTGACATTTTAAATTTTCACAGCATTATAACTTATCCTTCTGCCTTTCCTCTGTATCTACCCCACATGCAAAGTCTTACTGAGTGATCCCATTGAATCTACATCTCTGTCTCTCTCATGCTCATGGAACAGAGCTTATTCTTTAAGACTGAGCTCAATCTGAGTTTGAGGCTATCCTGGTTGACAGAGTGAGCTCCAAACCAGCCAGGGCTACAAAGAGAAACCCTGTGTCTCAAAACCAGAGACAGGGGAGGAGGGAGAAAGAGGAGAGATCAAATATTAAAGCCTCTGTGAAATTTTTTGACTTAACTTCCAAAGGCAGGTGAAGGCACCTCTCCATCGTGTGTCAGGAGAAACCACTGCTCTGTGTGGACTCTTCTACGGCATTATCA